GGCCGCGAGGCGCGAGGTTGAGGGGAAAACGGAGGGAAAGTCTGGATTTCTTGGAAAATCTGGGGGCACTAGCGCGTATATGCGAGATGGGCGTCCGGAGGTTACACGCCACCCCCTTCCTGATTGCCATTTCTTCCCAGTCTCGCAGCGAACGGGACACGTGCCGATATAGGGCGCCTGTTTGGGGCCAGTCTCGGGGTATCTTTGGCGGCGGAGGACCGAAGTTCCGCAAGCGTAGGCCGGGGTTGTGTTTGGTCCATGTTGATATTGGCAGGATGGTGACTGGCTCGGCGGTGGTGGTGAGCGGGTTGCCTTCTGCGTTCGTCTGGCTTGTGACGGCGCGAGCGTGGATGATTACGTGCGATGAGCTGGCGTGGGATCCATTGCAAATGTCACGGCCAGGGTCCGAGGAAGGGTGGTTGACGAGGTTCGGGAGGGGGATCCGATCCCGATGGACCTGGGGGAGGTGAATCCATGCCCACGATGGGGGAGGGCCTTGGATGTTGCAGATTTTTGAGTAATTTTGAGTGGTTTCTGCCAAGACTGGAGATGCGATGGCAGGACGAATATGGAATGATTTTCGCGGGAAGTTGTCCGGAGACTTTTGGCGTCCCCGCGTTCAATTTTTTCCCTTCGTCTATTCTGCGCGTCTCGCTGTAAGTTTCGCTGGTTTTACACATGCAAAAAGCGCAGGGAAGAAAACCGTTCGCGAGGATCGTGAAGTGGGGACATGGTTCTGCGCCGACGCCCGTTGGCGGATACTCGTTTCCGGGCTGGGGGCAGGTTGAATGTGGCTCCGGGTCACCGGCATCCTCACGGTGGATGGCCGAGGTTGTTGATCTGATGCGGACTTGGGCCGAGGCGGCGAGCATGGCGAGATGGTGGTCCAACTTGGGTGTAAACTCTAATGTGTTGCAGGGTGAGATGTGGAAGATGGCCGAGTTTGTTGAGGATGGAGATGCGGATGGGAGTGGGAGATGGGAGATTGTGGTTGCGGGTGTAGTTGGGAGGTGTCGTTGATGGATGAACGGAATGAGACGCGGAATGGCTTGCCAAACTTTGGCAGGCGCTGGGTTGGGTGCGCGCATTCCCTCCATAGGTGTGTTGCGCGAGCTTTTACGTAACCTCAATCCCGCCCCTTTGGCTCAGTGGTAGAGCGTCTCACTCGTATGCTTGCGAAATATGAGAAGGTCCACGGTTCAATCCCGTGAGGGGGCATTTCTTTTGCTAAATTGGGTAAATTTTTACCTTTGTAATACGTTTTTTGCGTCCTACGTCTGTTTCACTCAGGCAACTTTCTTCTCAGGTTTTGATATGCTCCTGTTGAGTTTATCTGGGTGCCTGTCTGTCTATAACGACCCTAACAGAATATTAGTGATAGGCTGACCCTAAGTAATTAACTAACATTAGACTGAGAGTTCACTCATAAGAGCAACTCGGCGCATATAGGATTAATTAACTATGCAAAACGTCTTTGACTCGACTCCAACTTGACTGCATTTGCTAATTACATCTCATTAAACACTACAACCATGTTCAAACTCAACACACTTTAAACCTCACAAACTGAGCAGCGTCCTCGGCATACTTCAACCCATAATTCTCATGCGCCTCCCAGCTGGTCCCTTGCGCGCACGCAGGATCATTGTCGTTGCAATAGTCCCTCAGTCGCGCAGACCACCGATTAAGCGACTCCAGCTGCGCGCCCTCCCTGGGGAAGCCCTGCATCGCCGTCGTGTCAGTCTTTATCCCCCCCATTCCTCGATTTTCAAACCAAAACTTACCGATTGCATCCGCGCCCCGACCAGCAAGTTGTACGTCTGGTTCGCAACGTGCCGCGGCGAGCCCCAGATAAGAGCAGCAGCAACTATTCCGCAGATCAGTCTCCACCAGCATATACATTCATCCGGACAGGCGCAGCAGCACAGCACTCACCGTGATCCCCAGGAAACTCGTCCGGCGCCATCCCCTCGCTGCCCTCCTGCGTGCAGTTCTGGCTCCTGAACGTCCCGCCCCCGCCGCCGAGCAGGTCCCCGACGACCTGCCCACCCTGCGAGAAGCCGGACAGCACGATCTTCGAGCCCGGGCAGCGCGTGGCGTACTCGGTGACCGCGCTGCGGGTGCTGGCGATCCCGCCCTCGACGGAGTCGCAGTAGTCGTGGAAGACGGCCTGGTACTCGACGCTGGCCCACGTGCAGTCCCAGCCGGCGCAGATGGCCTCGGCGATGGGCTGCTGCAGGCCTGGGTAGGGCTCGTTGGTGCCGCGGAGGAGGAGGACGTGGACGGCGGCGCAGGGGGTGAGGGGGCAGAGGGGGGACTGGGGGGCGACGGAGGCGGGGAGGAGGGCGAGGGGGAGGAGGGTTGTGGGACGCATGTTTGGAGCGGTGTTTTGGCGGGAGGGGGAGGATGTGGGAGCCCGAGATTGAAATCGAAAGTAGATAGCGAGTAATTTCTCAACTTTTTCGTTGAAGCAAGACTTGCAGTTGTGTTCTTATGGGAATTGGCATTACTGCTGTTCTCTCTGTTTGGCAGCCGAACATCCCCAGATTCGATTTGAGAACATGTTTCCCCGCAAACCCCAGGTTTTCCATCCCGGTCTTCACGTGGAGCGAATCCCATCCCGTCGTCAAAACAAAAAAGAAACGCCCAAAACAAGCTTGTTTCCCGCCGTGAAGTCGCTGGAGTTGTCATCCAGAGGCTATTGTTTCCTGATTCGTCCAGACCTCGGAACTCGGAGGGCAGCAAACACACTGCGGAACTCGGACAGGTTCTCTGCCAGAAAGAAAGCTGGGGGAGGGACGTTGCAACCACACCGCACAGCGCACCGGCGTCTTGTCTCGGCAGATGGGCGCCAGCCAGTTGGGACCTGGGGATTTCTGACCGTCCGGGCTGTCAGTCACCGTTTCCCCCCCGTGGGACTCTCAGTGTGGGGTAAACGGCGTTTTTGCTGCAAAATGGGGAATTTGTCCGTGGAGTTTTTTTTTCTTGGTGAGGCGACGTCCCAAGACCGCAGAGTCGGTGTCGACTGCGCCTGGGATTCCCCAACATGGCAGGACTGGACACACCAAAACCACCCTTTGAACACAATAGGCATGTCAACTGATGGCTACATTAAATCAAACGAGGCGAATATTCCCCAAAGACAAGACAATCCAATCAACCGCACAACCAATCCCCAAACCGCAAAACCCGCCTTATCCCCCGCTACATCCCCCCAACATCAACCACATACCCCCTCTTCCCCAGCACCTCCACCAATCCATCCCAAACCCGCGCCTGCACCCGGCGTCCGGCCTCATCCTCAACCCACGCGGGCACCTCCATCACCTCCATCTCCGCCAGGAACGCCCCGTGGCTAGCCTCCCCGGCCGTCACGCCGTGCAGCAGCTTCCTGCTCCCCTGCTCCGCGCTGATCCCGTACCCGACGCGCATCACGCCGATGTACGCCCGGAAGAACCACGGCATGTTGCGCGCGAGGTCCGTCGCGCAGATGCCCGGGTCGAGCACGTTGATCACCACGCCCGTCTCGGACACGGGGAGGAGGGAGGCGAGGTGGCGGACCATGTAGACCTGCATCAGCTTCGAGAGGGGGTATCTAAAGCGTGTTAGTTATGGTGTCAATCGAGTGATTGCAAACCATTCCACGTACCGATGCGCCCCCAAACCCGTCTTCCGCTGCTCCTCCCGACTCAGACTCTCAAACAAATTCCCCTCCACGGCATCCAACCCGCCCCCCTTCGTGAAAAACGCAGTCCCGCTCGACACAACGCTCAAACACGTCCTCACCCCAAACCTCCCCGCCGTCTCCCGCAGCTTCGGCAGCGCCCGCACCGCAAGCAGCCCGTTGCCCACCACATTCACGCCCACCATCGTCTCCAACCCGTCCCCCGTCCTGACAAACTCGTCCAGCGCCACGCTGGCATTTGCCACCACCCCATCGAGCCGGTCCAGCTCACCCAAGCGTGTGCAAAAGGCCTCGACGGAGGCTAGAGATGCGAGGTCGAGTTCCCACACCTCGCCGGCGTCGGGTTGGTTAGTGTGCGCGCGGATAGAGGCGAGCGCGGCCTCGCCCTTTGAGAGGGAGCGGACTGCGAGGATGACGCGCGCGGCGTGGAGGAGGATGAGGTGCTGTGCGCAGTGGTAGCCGAGGCCGGTGTTGCTTCCGGTGACGATGTAAGTGCCCCCGGCGATGGAAGATGCGGGGGGCAGGGGGAGCTCTGCGCAGCTGCGGAAGAACGATGGGAGTGTCATTTTTGGTGTATTTCTTTCGGAGGTTCAATTAGATATGAGTAGAGTTTTGGGATATGAGATGATAGGTCTTGGCGGGGATTTGGTAGTGTAAAGTTTATTGCGACGTTTGGTGTTAGCTTTTTGATGTTCTACTGCATTCATTTTCACATCTTTGCATCAACATTATCAGTATTTATACCATTCTTCCTCACTCTCGCAGTGATGCCAATACATGCCAGCTGCGCCCATATCTTGGCGATATCCATGGAGTTTACGGAGGCGGACCATCTACGGTATTTCTATCATTTCCATTTCCCGGCCCAACGTCGTTGCTGAAACCCGGCCACACAACGCGGATTTCACTTGTTGCAGTGGTTGGCTACTTTCTGTAGGGCTTAGCAGAAAGAGTGCTTGGGCCAATGGTTTGTTGGCGTTTCCCGTCTTTTCTGACCGGGTTTTGGTGCTCCGGAATCCCGCGCAACTAAACTCCGCAATGGCCGGCTTTTTACTTACAACACCAAAGTCCCAATAACATGCAGACACACCAGAAAGAAGAGCGGCGTTCCTAGGGAAATGTGTTTTGCTTCAGGTCGTTGATCGTATTAGAATATTCTATTCTGTAGGTCATGAGTCATTCGTCGTCCTCGACGCAATTGTTGCTTTGGTCTTGGAAAGAAAATCATCCAAGATGCACGAATGCATCCGCAGCGCTATGCTAGAAAGAAAGAAACCGCTCCAAAATCAAACACCAGTGCCGCCGTTGAAGTTCATCACCTGGCATGCCGGGTATTCCACAACTCCTCCGCGTTGCCCCTAAACAGCCTGTCCACCAGCACATCATCCTTATCACACCAGTCCAGCACCGTCTCCATCCACGGCCTGATATCCAGCCCCTCAAACCGCGTATGCGGCCAGTCCGTCGCGAAAATCACCCTGTCCCGTCCCCGCAGCCGCAGCACCTCGCGCGCAATCGGCTCGAGGTCGCTGTGGTCCGCCATGCTGCTCAGCCGGTAGGGCGCCGAGAGCTTGACGTACGTGCCGCCCGCCTTGAGCAGCCGCGCCAGCGCCCGGAACCCCCTCATCGAGTACGGGTCGCGCGCGGGCATGTCCTGGACGCTGGGATGGCCGAGGTGGTCGATGCACACGCGCACGCCGAGGCGCGGCACCACCGGCTCGAGGAGCGGGATCATCGACATGGGCATGTACACCTGGATCACCCAGTCGAGCGGGCGGCAGTCCTCCGCGTACTTGAGCAGTAACTCCTCGAGCTGGGCGGCGGTGAGGGATTTGCCGACGGAGGAGAGGTTGATGCGGACGCCGCGCACGCCGAGGCGGTGCCACTCTTTAAGAGTGCTCTGCGGGACGGATCCGGGCTCGAAGGCGACGACGGCGCGGCCGCGGCGGGGGCCGAGGGCGCGCAGGGCGTCGAGGAGGCAGGTGTTGTCTGTGCCGTAGATGGAGGGCTGGACGAGGACGATGTTGTCGATGCCGACGGAGGACTCGAAGGCGAGGGCGTGGTCGAGGCGGTGCGTCGCGGGGCAGTAGACGGCGTCCTGTGCCAAGGGATATGCGGCCGGGTCGACGACGTGCATGTGGGAGTCCCACGCGCCGCGGGGGATCCGCTCCGGGAGGGTCAGGCGGCGGCGGGCGGGTGCGAGGAGTGTTGGTATTACTTTGTCGTTCCTCGAGGAGGAGGAGGAAGGGTTGATTAGGGGTTGGAGGAGAGCCATGATGGTTCGTAGGTGGTGGTAGAGGTGGGAGTGTGCGTTGAGGATGCGCCTCTGGATCATGGTGAGGGCGGCTGCTCTTTGTGTAAGAGCGGAGGGGAGGGCCCTATCAGTGGGAGATGAGGAGGAGGAGGAGGAAAGGGCGGGGGGAGAGTGATAGAGTCGAGGCTCGGGCTTGATGCCGATTTGATGGTGAGGAGTGTCTAGGGAAGCAGCGGTGGTGGTATTGGTGGTGGTGGTGGTGGAATAAGGGCGCTTGCTGGAAAGGCATGGAAGGGATGAATCCTTCTCCTCGCGAGAACAAACTGGCGACTGGACCGAAGACGAGGAGAACGACGACGACGACAAGAGGAGAAGCCCGGGGTTTCGGTGATCCGCAGGCACTGGCTGCTGCGTCTGCTGCTGGTGGTGGTATCCGTACTGCTGCAACGACTGCGGACGATGGCGATGACGGCGGCGGTGCGCCTGCACATATGGACGTCGGCCCATTGCGGTTGCTGAGAATCCGCCGACTGTCCGGGTTGTTGAGTGGATCATCTGAGTTGCAGCCGCATATCACTCGACGAGGGCAGGCGTATCCGTAAGAAGGTTTTCCTGATCATGTAGGGGCGAGCCCGCAGTTTCTCGGACAGTCTCCAGCAGGGCAGATGCGAGGAGCAAGGCAGGCGAGGCAAGGCCAGACACGCCAGTGGGAGCGATAGTGGAGGTGGTTGAGGGCCAAACTGCAAAACTAAAACCTTGAGGTGTCGTCGACAAGCCACCAGACGAGAGAGGTGAGGTGCAGGTTTCTGGTTTTGGAGGAGATCTGATCCTCGGTGGGCGGTGTCGCCTCGGAGGATGACCGACGTGTTTCTCGACCAGAGTCCAGAGTCCAGAGCCTAGTGAAAAGAGTGTGAGTGGTGTTGAGTGTCAATGCCCATTGGTTTGGGTGTGTATTGGGTTTTGCGCGCAACTACTGTGTGTAGAGACTACGGATACACACACTACATACACGCATATCCATCCGAACATGGGCTTCAACTATTTTGAGAAGTGGTTCCGTCCTCCAGGAACATGGCCGACGGGCGTGCATCTGCATCGGCCAGTGCGAGGTCCATTGCATGGATTGACGGGGTCGGGGCATTGCAACAGCGGGCGGGCGGCAGCGTTTCCAGGCGTCTCTACAGGCGCGTTTGTGAGGGCAGCACCGCTGAGCAGAAACAAACAGGGCAGAAATTCTCTTTCTCTGCTTTTTTTTTCTTTCCTGACGTCGCCACGAGTCATTGCGGGCCGCATGTTGTGGGCGGCCGTCCTGCCGGAAGTTGACCGAGATGGGTGAGCTGTGAGATGAGATTGAGCGAGTGAAAGAGAGAGTGAGTGAGCACAGTACTTGCTGCGGACACAAGTGACTTGCATTATGTAAGATGCAAATGTACGTACCGACTAAGTGCCTTAGGTAAGTCACTTAGGTAAGCAGAGAGAGAGAACCTTGAGGGAACAGGAAAGCCCAGACCACCTCTGTCTTCCGGAAGCGGGCTGGGAATACCGCGAGATGCTAAAGTATCCCACCACTGTGTTTAGCGTGGGAGCTACTTCTCGTCCCTGCGTTAGTCACCCCCCCCGGCGCGGCACTTCCATTGGATCGGTGTTGTGACGGCAATGGCACTGGATGAACGCAACTCCCGAGTGGGGGGGCAGCACCTCAGCATCATTACTAAGGTTTACATTCTCTCCTCACACTGTTGAGGTGCAGCCTCTCTCACTCCAGCCTACCGGTATCTTTTCCCCCCTTCACAGTTTGTTCGGTCAACGTCCGATGTTTTGCACCCCCCCTTAAGGCTTCATCCCCCACCCCGCCCTGCACGAGATCCTCCTCCGCGCGCGATCGTCCACTGAACGAAATCGTGGGGTTGGGCCTCCTCCTCTGGAACCACCAGGGCCCAAAATCCGGAGAAGAGGCAAGCGAGAGGCGCTGCTGCGGCGGCCTGCATCCATCCATCGACCTACCCCGTGGAGGATTTTTGCAACCCCGCGATTGCTGCTGCCGCTGCTGCTGCTGTTGAGAAGCAGAGAGAAGACGACGAACGGCAGGAAAAGAGTGAGAGGCGACGGGGGAGGCGACGTGGTGTGATTGCGTGTCGGAAATAGGGGGCGAACACAGACACTTGGACAAAAAAAACTTTTTTTCTTCTCTCTTCATTTCATCTCAATCCAGCATTTGAACAACTCAATTGCTGCAAACCCACGCCGCGCTCCCCTTTTCTGGCGCCCGCAATCGCGTTCGAACGAAAGCCGTCTCCCCCGGCCCAGATCTTCTGTCTCTGAGAAGTCTTACCCCGGGACAATGGTCGACTTCAACGCCTACTATCTGCTGACTATTGTTGTTATCGCGTGCGGGTCTATCCCCAAGGGTGAGTCTGCCCCCTCTGCCCCCTCTGCCCCCCAGCCCATTGTGCGGTCAGGTCGGGTCACCGCATACGTGACCGTGATCTGTCACCTTCTCCACCGCAAACCCTTCTCCTACTCCGTTCGCGGTGTGCATGTCCATGTGTGAGTGAGTGTGCTGATGGGTCCAACAACACAGGCTACGATGAGGGCGGCTTCAGCGCCTCCACGGGCCTGACCTCCTTCAAGGAGGACTTCGGCCTCGTGTCGAGTCTGTGGAAGGGCAACGAGTCTGGCCTCGCCGACCGCAAGGCCAACATCTCGTCGTTTGGCGTCCTCGGCGCCGCCTTTGGCTCCATCATCGCCCTCGCCCTCAACGACAGGCTCGGCCGCCTGCGCTCATGGCAGGTCTTCATCGCCGTATGGATGACGGGCGTCCTGATGCAGGTCTTCTCCTCCGGCATCCTCGGCCTCATGCTCTTCGCCCGTATCTGGGGCGGCCTCGGCGCCGGCGGTCTCACCGTCGTCGCGCCGCTCTACCTGTCAGAGATCGCGCCGGCCAAGTCGCGCGGCATGGTCGTTAGCATCTACATGGTCATCCTGCTATCTTTCCTGACCATTGGTGAGCTTAGATCCCCCCATCCATCATCCCTCGGGACTTGCCCGGGCCCTCGGCGAACATCCGACTGACCGGCTCCCGCGCCAGGTTTCTTCATCAACTACGCCGCCAACGCGACGCTAGCGGCCACTAGGATGCAGTACCGCCTCGTCATCGCGATCCCCCTCATCCCCGTCGGCCTGGCCTTCGCCGCCTCCTTCTTCCTCGCCGACACCCCGCGCTGGCTCGCCTCCCGGGACCGCGGCGAAGAGGCGCTCGCCGTGCTCGCCAAGCTCCGCCACTCGGACCGCTCCGACCCGGCCCTGTCCCTCGAGTTCGACGAGATCCACGAGCAGCTCCGCTCCCGCCAGCAGATCCTCGCCGACACCTCCACCCTCGCCATCGTCAAGGAGATCGCCACCGTCCCCACCTACCGCACCCGCTTCCTCCTCGGCGCCGTCATGCAGACCGTCGCCCAGTGGTCCGGCGGCAACGGCATCACCTACTACATCCCCGAGATCTTCCGCTACGCCGGCGTCGTCGGCGACAACACCTCCCTCATCACCAGCGGCGCCTACGGCGCCGTCAAGCTCGTCTTCACCATGGTCTTCACCTGGGGCCTCGTCGACGTCTTCGGCCGCCGCCGCTGCTTCATCACCGGCCTCGCCCTGCAGTGCGTCACCCACGTCTACATGGCCGTCTACATGGGCATCTGGATCGACGGCACCAACAAGCCCGCCTCCGACGCCGCCATCGCCTCCGTGTTTGTCTACGCCGTCGGCTGGTCCATCGGCCTGTGCACCGTGCAGTACCTCTACGGCACCGAGATCTACCCCACCCGCATCCGCAGCGTGTGCTACGCGACCAACATGTCGCTGCACTGGTTCTTCCAGTTCGCCGTCGTGCGGACCACGCCCAACATGTTTGTCACCCTCGACGTGTGGGGCGCGTACGTCTTCTGGGCGTGCGTGTGCGCCGTCGGGCTCGTCGTGCTGGGGCTGTGGGCGCCCGAGACGAAGGGCATCCCGATGGAGCGCATGGAGGAGCTGTTCAGCGGGCCGTGGTGGATGGGCTGGCGGGCGCGCGTCGACCTCGAGGGGAGCGAGACGAAGCCGTTTGGGAGGGGGAGCTCCTCCGGGAAGGACTCGTCTGGGAGGGAGTCGGAAAAGGGGCCGTTTGCGCATGAGCGGAAGACGGATGTCTGATTACCTTGGTGTTTTGAGTATTTTTTCCTTGTAGAAACGTTAATACCATTTCTAATTGATATCCCTTTTACGACTTCACTGCATTTCTTTCGTACCGAGGTCATTCCCGGTGTACACCCGTTCAATCGGAGCCGGACCGGGTGAAAGTGGGTCTCTGCGGCCGCTCAACGTCCGCGTCTCTCAGACATGCGCCCAATGTGTGATTGAAACCGCTTGACAACACAACAAATTACAAGCATCTTTGTCCCCATCCAAGCTGAACAATCGTAAGTGTATTTGGGTTTCCGTTTTGGGTTTTGGTCAAGCTCATTGAGACTCCTAAAAAGACATGCATAGCAGCGTCATCGCAACGCCCTCTCCAAGCTGGTCGAGGACAAAACAACGAAACTGAAAAATTTCCTTCTCGTATACGTTAAGAGTGTAATTTAGCCCGGTTGCAGACACGAGGTTGACGCATAATTCGTGTCTCTTGGCGTTTCTCGCCCATGTCAAGGATACAAGAGAATTACTGCCCATAGAAACGTGTTGGTTTCTCTGAGCCGGGGTGTGACGCACTCCTATTTCAACGTCTTGTTACATTCTGCGTTTAACTGACGTTATTTTGGGCGCGTTGGTGCTTATGTAGCTTACAGTCTTTATTCGGTGTCAGGGTTATTCAATTCTGGTCAGTTTTCTTTGCGCCCACATTTCTTGCTTTGAGAAGCGCATATAAACAAGGAGTTGGGTTCGTTCACAATCAATCGTATCTGATTTTCTGAAATTTGGTCTTGTATCATTCCTAGTATATGACCACAAGTCTTGAACTGAGTATAAGTTTTCACAATTACTTACACGTACGCTTGAGGAGCATGTTGGGTGCCGCTCATGGACACCGCATCAAGACACGGAAGGTGCTC